TCCCCCCGGAGCTGCCTCCCAGCAGGCCAGCCCCCAGCCTGTACTGGCACTCTGGGTTATTCCTGCCCTGGTGCAGCAATAATTGCCCTTGTTGAATTTCAGTTGGTTCTGCTCTGCCCATCTCGCCAACCTGTCAAGGTCCCTCGGAAAGCCACTTTCCTTGTGTTTGTTAACAGTGAGTTGTTTCACAGTTCTTACATGCTGTTGTCTTAATTTGTTTGTATCCACAGGCTACATTTAGATGCTGTTTACAGCAATAAAGCGAATATTACATTTGATCTAGAGTTCTGTCTTAATTCACAGGAGGGGAAGGAAACAGAAGCTCGTCGGAAAAATCTCCTCATTCTAATTTCACATTATTTAATGGAGAAAGGGTATGTTTTTTTAAATAACAGTGCTCTACATTTGTGGGATTGTGTGTGTCTGACCTTCTGTACTATGTCCTTCTGTCCCCTGTTGGGTGGATGAGCAGTGTGGGCCTGTGGGTTCATAAAAGAAAGTGGTAAACTACTACAACCTATTTTGGCTGTTTGTTTTACTAAATTGTTCCAGTTTCTAGAACAAAAATGTCCTGTTTAATTTAAAATACTTCAGATCAATCAGAGTTTATACTTTGTAATAAATAGAGTTGAGCACAGCTTAAAAATACCATATACTTATTAATGCCATTGTTTGTTTTTTTCTCTCAAAAATCAGAGTAAAATAACGACTCCTTTTTTGATCTTTGGGTTTTTGTTGTCAGGTATGTCGATGCTGCAAATGCTTTGGAACAAGAGACGAAATTAAGTTTACGTGGCTTTGAAGTTTGTGACAACATTGATCTTGAGACAATTCTAATGGAATATGAAAGCTATTACTTTGTAAAGTTTCAAAAGTATCCTAAAATTACCAAAAAGGTCCTGGACACTGGTATGTAGCTCTGTTCCAAAAACTAAGCTTTTGTTTCCACAGCCTAAAATGTGTATTTGCCTGGTGTGCTAACAGCCCTTCTCATGGGATGAAGAGCTTGAAGGATATAGGTTTAGACTGGGTATTAGGGAAACTTTCTTCACTGAAGCTGTTGTCAAGCCCTGGCACAGGCTGCCCAGGGAAGTGGTGGAGTCACCATCCCTGGAGGGATTTAACCACTGTGAAGATGTGGCATCTGGGGGCATGGGTTATTGGTGGCCTTGACAGTGCTTGGGGAACGGTTCGACTTGATGATCTTAGAGGGCTTTTCCAACCTAAATGATTCTGTGATTCTATGGTTATTTGCATGAAAAAGACATTTACATCTAGAACCTACTGGTTGGTATTAATACAAAGAGGAACAGTCTTGCAGTACAAAACCAAAGGGATTTGTTGTGGATCAAGAAAGAAAATGTATTACACATCATACTTAGTCAAACTGAGTGGTAGTCAAGGCTCAAACCATGATACAACTGGAAAAAAAACTCCCCAAAAGACACTTACAAACTCCCAAGCTTTTTTGGTCAGTAAAGCTACTCTGACATGGGGCGCTCTGTCTTTACCCAAGCTCAGAGTTTCAACTATGCTGGCAGGGAGGCTTCACCCTGTTTTCCGGGAGCATAAGCAGCCTCACCTCCTGCATGTAGTTTGCAACATGCCTTAAATTGTGTCCATGGCCAGATTGTGGTATACACAGGCTAAACAAAATCTATAGTGTGGTACTCCTTCCTACTAAATTCTTTGCAACACTCTTGACAAGTCCTATATTTGGTTATTTCCATGCTGAATTCCATTTGGAAGTGTTGTAGACATACCCACAAGATTACAAGTTTCTTGCATCAACTTTGCTGCCTCTAAGTACACCGCGTTCCCAAGCTGTTT